GAACTACCCAGCAAACATGACACCAGCGTCTACAGGTGGGAACGGAAGTGACAAGGAGGATGGCCAGAAAATTTCCACGGTCTTCCGATAAACCCTTACGTCAAGGGCTTAACGGAAAAATTAGAAGATTTGCGGTCCCTACAATATCAGAACAATATTCAGTAGTAGTTCCACTCTACGAAGAAATCACTTCCGAACAAAGCCTAATATGGGAATGATATGACCAAGAATTGTGTGTACTCGATTCCTTGCAGTTGAGGCAGAGACTATTAAGGTGAAACAAGCCGCATCCTAAAAGTAAGGCTGGAAATTGAAAATTCGTAGTGAGAGACAATGAAATAGGGCATCGTTGATCATGTATAGAGGGAAAGAGGTAGTCATCAGCAACTGTGGAATCAAGTAAAAATACTGGACAAGGAAGAACAATGGAGAGTTCGACATCTGAAAGAATCAGCGTATATCCTCCTAAGTAGATCTAGCATATAAATATATACGGTATGGGAGACGTTAATAAAAAAGAAACAAAGACAAGTGATAAGAAGTCTTCAACCACAGCAGCAACAATCAAAACATGGATAGCAGCAGCTTCAACCTAATCAACAGTCAAGTTGAATTTAAGGTTGTAAGTTCACTACAGTAAATTGTCTTAAGGGTCAATGGCCTAGTGTTTGTGAATTTGCTGAGATAGTGGTTGTGAGTCCATTCGGTTGGACAATGAGTACTTGCACTTAGTGGAAAGGGAAGTGCAATAAGTAAACAATACTACATAAAATATTCGTAGGGATTAAATAAAGGGATCAGTTAGGTATCCCCTGTAGATCGATATAAACCTGAGGATGTCTGGAGGGCACAACGGCCGAAACGTTGTGATAACAACAACAAAGATGAGGACAATGGTAATATTATCCGTATCCTCATATTCATTGACCGAAAAGACAGTGCTATCGATTGAAATTTACAAAATCTTTCTATTTAATTTTTCAGGAAAATGAGTCTCTCAAGTCTACTGTTATTGTTCTTTCCAGTATTAAATGTGTTTCCTTTCTAGCATTTTGTTTGAAGTAGTGTTGAGCTTTTTTGATTATGTCATTATTTTCTTTATTACTTCTATTGTAGCTCAAGTCTTCAAGTGATGTAGCTTATGTTATTTAGTACAATTCTTTGTTTGTGACTGTGTAGCACCAGTCCAAACGGTTCGAGGAAGAATCGTCCTCGCTAAGAGCTACAGTCTTTATTTGTCCGAAGCCATTTTAACCATTGTAATCATTGTTGCATACAGCTGACAGTTTACAAATTTCTTAACTAGTTTGGCACCATGTATGATATCTATACGAAAGTCTTAGTCTGACGAAAATATTTAAGAATATGAGTTTTTTTCCTTAATGTTTGGTTTTGTAGCAATTTGTGATGTTGGCCAAATTACCCCGAGCACAGCCTACCAACTAGTTCAATTTTCTTACCTCCTATATTAAGTTTTTTAATAATTGATCTATGCACCTAATTTCACTTAGGATAATAAAAAAAATATAATTTTTATTTTGCCTTGTCTTTCTTTTCTATTTGACTCTCTTACCATTTGAGTTGTTACTGGAAAAGCAAAATGTTCATTAGCTAAATACTGCCTAGAGCAAACATACTTTAATTCTCTCAAGCGTTAACTTATTACAAATTGAGATTTTCCATCGCAGTGATATCTGAATTCGAAAGGATTAGTTAAGTTTAGTATATATAAAAATGTATCTATATCGAAAGTTGTACAAAATAAAAAAACTGTTTCGCACATAATATGTATGTAAGTGTAAGCCATTAAATATCGTCAAGGTAATTTATGATACAAGATCAATGTTTTTGTTTTTTTTTTGAAAACTGCTACACAGACGTTGAAGGAAATTATTAGTCTCTGCCTTGGAGCGGTATTAATGTAGATTGCTAATTTGAGAAATAATTATTAATTTTCAAATACTGATCTACTTAACGAAGCATTTCAGAATTTAATTTTACATTGCGCTGTTCATTAGTAAGTTGATGAAGAAATCTTTTTTTTAACTCGATTTTCGGAAATGCTGACAGAAACCGTGAGGTATTCTCTCATTTTATATTGTACGTTTTTTTATATATATATATCAAATACCCATTTTATACATCAAATACCCTATCTTGTATTTAAAAATACACACAAAGTTTGCAAAAACAAATATTTCTACAAAAATTGAAGTCTGTGTCATTGTAATGACCAAAAAGACAATGTTAATGCGTGTACTGAATGCTCCAAGGTATGAAATTATTTTTAAGTCATTCGTCTATTGTTTTTGTGAACTGTTGCAATTTTCATATCAAATACAGAACTGTATCCAAAGACTCAATCCGAAGTTCTTTTCTGATGAATTGCTGTTCATTAGTGTAAACTTTCCTCTTCAGAATACTCCACAAGTTATCAATCAGGATATGGTTGGATGAATAAGGCAACTACTTCATCAAACACGTGTTTTTGGAACTGGTTTTATTCACGTTTTCATTAGTTAATTACACTGAAAGGCATGGAGCATTTTTGAAAGGGTTTGGATTCTCCTGTGCTTTCAAACAATCAGTATACAAGTTAGCTCTCATCTTAACACGCCTCGTAATTTACCCTGAATCCTCCACTTCACCAATTATAAGTCCACCCCACAAAAATCACATCACGTCCACCAGTAGACGATTCAGTTTTTGAAGATGTCTAGCTTTACTTCATCTATCTGACTCATCGGGAGTATCTAGGAATTTGGTGATATATAAAAACGATTTAAAATCATTTATGTGTTTCGTTTTAGATCGGCATGGTAAAGTCAATTTACCGTATGTGCTGGCATACGTAGCGACGCGGCGTAAAAGATGACCCTCAAATTTTCAAGTTAAAATGGAAGTTTCGGGCTAAATTCGCCGTACAAGATGGCCCACCCAAATCGTATTTTAAAATGTATCTAATTTATTAAATAAATTCAGTAAGCATATAAGCAATAATCCTAATGACAAAAAAAACGGGGCGTGGGGAGATATTTTCAATTAACTACCACAATCGACAATGAGTGGATGCTGTTTTCGGTAGGCTATGACGGGAGCCTGAATGACTTTTCTACGCTAATCATCCACTAGTTCTACTGCTTTCGAATACAATCTTTAAAACACTCGTTGAGACACTTCCAGTTGTGATTTTGTTCAATATCATCGAAAAAATGAAGCAAGGAGGAGGTTAGTCTACCGTCAAAAATCTCCCATACTAAAAACATCATAAACCACAGGATTTAAGGTTCACATTTTATACCTGGAGTATAATACGGCCCCTCTATTTAGGGAGGGGTGTTTTAAGGTTAAAAAGTCGCCTTGTACACCGACATATACGGTAATCTTCTTCGAAACTTTATCAAAGTCGTCGCAAATCTTTAACCAACTTCTTCACAATTTGGTTTAACCTGCCAATAAATTTGTCAGTTTCCAGAATTCTTTTACCTTTGCATTATCTGAAATGAATAAACATCTCCCTTTTCCCGTCAAATCAGACTTACAACTTGTAACGTAGCTACTAATTTGAGGCTTTGAAATTTATGACATTTCACACAAATGGCTGCAGATTGTTTACACCTATGCAAAATGATACGGATTTAATCCAAATTACACAGATAATTTTTGTCACCATTTATCAAATAAACTTTTAAGCACTTCCACCTCTTGAGTGTCATTTTATTCTTTTGTGGGGTATACGGCCACAGCCTCACCACGATAGGTGTTGCTGCTGGGATTTCTGTAGCAAGGAAGTTTTTAGGGGTAGATTTTCCAACCGCACACCTAACCGGTTTTGGACTCAGAGTTGTCTTTCTCCTAAACTCAATGCTATTAAAGACTACAGAAGTCAGCCTACCCTGCTATTTACCCCATAGCTGACGTGAAAAGAAATGGATTCATATCTTTCTCAAAGCTATTTGTGCTAAAGTGAACTCAACGAAGACGTTGGAATTTGAACTCGGCATGCCAATTCCTCTTTCAGCGTCCATAACCCTACGGTAAGCGCACATCCAGATAAAACTTTAGCTTCCATTACATATTTAATATTTTGATAAAACATTAAGTAGCTTATAATATGAGTGTAGTATAAAACGTTTGATTGGCCTATTTTCTTTGAATTTATACAAAAGATATGTCTATTGTAAATTTATGCATTTTCAATTACGTTACTGTAGAAAGAAACAGAATTCTTTTTTTTCTTCTGCACTATGTAAGATAGCCATGTTTTTTTATATTTTTTTATCTCGGATAAGTAATTATTTTTTTCAGCTGTTGCATTGTTTGTACAGAACTTTTCCGCTCAAAACATATATCATTTTTCTTTACTAATAACTCTTAGTTGACTGGCTACAAACAGTATCCTGCAAAGAACCCCATCACAACACAAGAGTACCAATAGTTGACAAGCAGAAACAACCAGAAAAATGAGTTGATAAAATTAACCTCGTCCGATTAGCGCAGGATATTTTAAGTAGCCGCGATGGTGAACGACGGTTTTCCACAGGGCATAATTTGTAAGGTGGAAGAAAATTAGATTGCCTTGAAATTATCGAGGCTCATAAAACTGAAGTGATAAATTATTGACCGGGAGTTACAAAGGTAAAAAATATTTTTTCTGCTTTAGATGTGAAACACAAATATATAAACACCTGTTTCATAGTGTTCAGCTGATCAGTTACGACCTGGTAAAAGAATGATTAAAAAAATAAATGCAAAATACTTTTTATGTGTGGATAATGTATAACTGCATATATATATATATATATATATATATATATATATATATATATATATATATATATATATATATAAAAAGAAATATAGTCTTAAGGTGTGCTATATTTATGGGATAAAGTGCTCAATATCAGAGATAGAGCGTGTGTAAATATAAAAGTGAACATAGAAGTCAACACTTAGAGGCGACAGTCTGTTTCATGCTATATGCAATCGTCAGGCCTGACGATTGCATATATATATATATAATGCATTTTGTATTCAGATAGATAGATAGATAGATAGATAGATAGATAGATAGATAAGAACTGATTAAAATAGATAGATAGATAGGAACAGATTGAGATAGATAGATAGATAGATAGATAGATAGATAGATAGATAGATAGATAGATAGATAGATAGGAACAGATTGAGATAGATAGATAGATAGATAGATAGATAGATAGATAGATAGATAGATAGATAGATAGATAGAACCAGTGTGGACAGAGAAATCAACAATGCTCAGTGAACGTCAGCTTCACGACTTCAACGATTATGAGATGCTGTCAGAAAATGAGTGATATTTTGTTTGTTTGATGCGACGTCACGAGATTTGAATTATGTATTTTTGGCTTGAAAATTTTCATTTATGCTTGCATCATTGAATCCTATACTTTGTTAATGTTTTATGTAGATTTATGTTTTATGTTTTTTCGTCCAAGGAAACGGATACTTTATTCAGGATTATGCAGAAATTATACATCAGATCAGTTAATGGGCACTTAAAACTGACAGCCCTAATGCAGTGTTGATTTCTATGTACACTGTTTACATATGCAAAGTTATTGAGCACTCTTCCTCATATAAATATAACAAATGTTAAACTGAATAAATGTTAAGAAATATAAGATTTTCCTTTTTTTTATTTTGACGCCTGATGATGCAATACGTAAAAATGACTTGTTGTGTGAAGACGTGATGTTTCAAAAGAAAAAAATGTAACTAAGTATATCATAATGGCTTTAGAAAGCCGCGAAGACTGGAAAATCAGACAATTTATGCTTATATTTTCGATGGAAATCAAGAAAATGGTATGAAATAATGAAAAGCAAACAAAATCATCAAAATACGCCCAATATCTCAACAATGCATAGTAACCTTCAGCTTCACGCCTTCAGCGATTATCAGGTGTTGTCAGAAGATGAGTGACATTTTTTCTTCTTCTGCGGAGTTATGAAATTTGGATAATGTATTTTTCGGCGGGAAATTTCCATTTATACATGTATTATTGAATACGACACACGGAATATATATATATATATATATATATATATATATATATATATATATATATATATATATATATATATATCAGGTATCAGATCAGAACAAATGGAGTATAATTCGACTGTACGTAACATTTCATTTAAAAGATGGCTTATTACAGATTAGAGCTAAATATTATCTATTTTAGGATATTAAAACATATTAAAAATCCCTACATGATGACAATTATGTTTCAACTATATGTTAAACTACTCGTGAGTGAAAGATTAATTTCAAAAGCAGAATAATTTTGGAAAATTGGCTTTTGTGCTTTCCTGTGATTAACCAATCGAATATATATATATATATATGTGTGTGTGTGTGTGTGTGTGTGTGTGTGTGTGTGTGTGTGTAAAACTTTAAAAATCAGGAGGTCGATTAAAATTCAAAGGTAAAAGCTCAACATGTTAATCTTATTTTTACCTATATTATTTTCTTACGTGTATTACACTACTGTTTTAAACATTGTAGTTCACATCTACCGGGCTGGACAATTGAAAGGCTTAATAAACAAGTGCCTCTCAGCAAAAATCGAACAATTTCAATGTTTAAAATAAGGGAATATCATAAGTATTAACTTCCCGCAATTTGGACACTTACGGAATTATTCAACTTTTGTTATACTATATATATATATATATATATATATATATATATATATATATATATATATATACGTAATATTCTTTTATTCTCATTTGCGAGACAGATGATTTGGTTTTGCTCCGACCGGTGAGATTTATTCTTGCCAAAGATTTGTGTGGAATATTTAGTGTAGGGTTTTCATATTTCTGTTTCTTATGTTTTTACACTAGTTTGCTAATTTTTTAAATTTTCTTTTTCCTTTTTTCTGTAGCGAATTTTTTATTTTTTTTTTTTAGTTTAATTCTTCTTTCGTATCGTATTATTTAATCTTATTTCTGTATTACTTCGTCCATTTTGTTTGCTTTTCTTTCTTAAGCAAAACTTTTAAAATTTTATTTTTTACGTCCCCTCCCCTTTTACTTTTTCCGTTTTAACTTGGGTTTTGATTTATTTTTTCTTCTTACATTGTTTATTTCTATCGTTTTGTTTTTGTTAGGTTTCTTTCGCATATGTGATTGTTTTTCTATTACGAACTGTTCTTTTTTTGTGTGTGTGTGTGTGTGTGTGTGTGTGTGTGTACTGTGGTGCGGCCCCGGTCAATATGGCTCAGTCTTCTCAACATTTGAGGCCGACACCCACAACCGCAAGGCCATCAATACTGGCGGCACATAGGCCAAAAAAGAAAGGGCCCGAATATTATAATAGCCTGAAGGGCCAGTATAAAGAATTATTTCAATCAATGAACTTTTGGTTGTGCCTTGTGTAATGGAGGTAATCACTACAAAGACCATATCCCTTCTGACAACGGACGTAAAGTCTAGGCAGTTCAACGGAATCAGCAGGGATGTGATGGAGAAGACTCTAAAGAGCCTCAATATTGAAGCCAAAATATTGGTACGTCGGACCAACGCCATGTGGGTCATCCAGCCGGCGACAAAGGTAGCAGCCAAGTCTTCGGCCGGAAGCATCCGCACCACGAAAACGATGAGGTTGTAGACCAAATACATGGCCACTCGGAGGACTCGAATTACCTTTCACGGTGTGCCCATGTACATCCCGAGGACCATTTAAGGTGTTTTTCACTAATTATGGACAGGTTGGGAATGTCTCGGCGGTAAAAAGAAAATTGCCCGCAGTGAGTTTGATGGTGACAATTACCCGAAAGAATTTATAGACATCCGCAACGTACTCACCTGTGGTGGCCGTTCCGTATATGTCATAGCTGAAGATCGACGACCCCACTGCTGGTCCTGCGGAGCCAAGGGATACTTGTCAAAGGCGTTCCCCGGAAACCAATTCCAACATCAGCAACACCAGCTACACCAACAACACCAAAAGATGCAGTGGGTGCAGAGAAGTCCGGCCAAGCCCCCAGTGGCTCCAGTGAGTGGACAGAAGTAGTGAGGAGGGGAACAAAGTCTGCAGCCCCTCCTCCCCAGCAGGATGGCCCTCGAAAAAAAGGCTGTATCGTCTAGAAACAAGCTACATAGCAGTAGCAACTGAAACAACAGCGGAAACAGCAATCAAAGAAGCACCACCACAACCAACAGAAGAAGCAACAAGTTCAGCAGCGGCAACAAGAACAGCTCCTCCGGCAATAAGAACAACAGCAACAGCTCGAGCAGCCACAACAACCACTGGAGCCGATGGTTCTACCATAGTTGGACTTATACATGGATGTGGAGGAAATTAGTGGAAGGGGACGCGAAAAAAAACCTCTCATTAACCCTGAATTTTCGCTTACCTGGCGATTGATTCGGAAAGCCCTATCTCTCAATGAATAGCTTTCAGAGGAGGCTGGGCGGATTTCCCCGACTGTCATCGGCGCGACATTGTCTGAAGTAATCTGCTTTGCACGCCTTCTATCTTTGTCCTCAGATGCACCCGTTCTGGGACTATATATCGGGGAGTTGACGGCTCGTATTGAGCCCAAATATTTGGTTTCATCGATCTCGCATACGCGTGCGATAATGTGTCGACCCCGTATTCTAGGGTGAGACAAATGGTATTTCTTACGTTACTGGCGATGGCAAGAATTGTGGTATGGACGTTACGAATGCAGGGAATCTTGCGATACGAACGTTATTCTCATCAGGATCTGGTTGGAATCTTTGGGCATCAGCTCAAGATGAAGATCGGAACTGACAGAAAGCGTTCTTTATCGAATGATTTCAGCAAAGGTGGGTGAAAGTGGCGAGCTTCGTCTGAGTGAACAGGGCCAACCTTGATTTTCATTTTTGAAGTCCTCTTTGACACAACGGGGCGGTTTCCTGAGGAACCCTCCTTTCTCTTTGTTTACCGATCTAATGTGCCGTTCCCGGCCTTTTTCCGGCATTCTCTTTTGACAACTTTTTTTTTTTCATCTCGACTGGATCAGTATTTGACTTTCCCACGTCAGCATTTATTTTTATCTTTTCCTCTCCGTTAGTGAGTGAGCTTCTTGATTCTATCTATAGACACAATACAGCGACCGCTCTTTTTTGCTATGTAGACGGGTCATAGTAACATCTTTTATTTTTAATTTGAATAATTTTTATATTTTCATTTTTTGGGTTCATCCCCTCGTCCTCACTATATGTTTATATGTTTTTGTAAATAAAAAAAGAAAAGGCATTTGGATAATTCGTATATAAAGTGACGGATGGGTTCTTGTGGTAAATGAGAAATTTTTAATGGATGATTGTGTCGTGAATCTGATTAGCTAAGTCTAGTATAGTGTTATGGGACCTTACCCATGATAACATAATGGACTATTCAATACGTAATAAATACTGCGCCTCAAGAGGAAGCAGGGAGTTCAGTCTGAAGTCGGGCGACCGGCGAACCGGTTGATCGGTTCAACTCTCTGCCTTTGGGCGGGGAGGAACCCGAACGAGGCTACGCCGAAGGGCGGAGTCTCTTTCGAGGAGGCAAACCAACCCTGAACCCGTTTATACGGGTTCAAAGGGCATATTTTTGGCCGAGCCCACGGGCTCGGAGATCCCACATTAAACAGGCCTTGTTCCACATGATGGCCTCATATGGGGGGGCGACTAAATACCGTTCAGTCTGAAGTCTGGAGTGAGGTCCGTCAGAAGTCCGTCAGGAGACTGTCAGTCAGTCAGAGCGAGACAGAGGCAGTCCGAAACAGAATCGCGTTCATACAATTACTACAAAACATTGGAATAGTGATACTGGTCGAGACTGCATTGTTCTCCCTACTAAACCTGATTGTTCGTACTAACACTTTCTACTTCTCTCTATATATTCCTGTTTGTAATATATCTGTGTTATTCCATATCCTTATTCGAGTTCTTCTTTATTGGTTCTACCTTGGACCATCACCGTGGTACAAGGACCTGGACCATAACAGATAGTTAATGTTGACCAACCTTATTCCACTTCCACTTCGGCCATGTGACACATTTGTTGTATTTAACAGCAATAAATATACTTATTCTTATTTGCTCTTAGCCACACCGTGGGCCAATCTGTTTATTAAAGACTTCGTCAAGGTACTTCTTTAGTTCTGTTCCTTATTACAAGGATGTTTTCTCAAACATGTTTATCCACAAAATATAACGTTATAATAATACTAGATAATATCGGATTAAACTGTGTGTGAGTGTTT